GTGTGTGTGTGTAGTGTGTGTGTGTGTGTGTGTGTGTGTGTGTGTGTGTGTGTGTGTGTGTGTGTGTGTGTGTGTGTGTGTGTGTGTGTGTAGGCGCGCGCGTACGCGTGTATTAAAATACAATACGTCAAACATCTTTTTTAAATCAGCATTGTCAAATAAGTCTGCATAAAATATTAATTTTCATATATCTTTTATATAAGTAAATTAATGTAAGTAGCAGTATCACTATTAGCGATGTTGTACTATATTTTTAAACGTAAATAAATGTTTTATTTTGTTCTAATTACATAATAAATTGTTTTAATAAATCGAAAGAAATGTACCAATATATCACTGTATTTTTCTTCAAATAAATAACAAATAACTTATCTTTTTTAATATTTTAATTAATATTTAATATTTTAATATTAAATATAATAGCACTGTGTAATCGATATCGTCAATTGTCCATTATATATTAATAAATAATAACAACACAACCTGTCGTGTATATTTTGAAGTCCAAATTGATAAAATACTAAAAATAATTTTCTCTCATTTTGCAGAGTACGCTGACACGCGCTTCCCCGTATTATTCCTGGCATGACTGAATCACTAGCAGCTGGCTCGAGACGGAGCCAAAATAGTCAACTACCTCGGCCAGCTTCCTCCGAAATTACTATGCTGACGAAATATCGAGCGAAGGTGGTCTGGGATTAAAGATATGGATCACAGAAAGAAATGTCTTGATGAATCAGCGTGTCCATTTGCTCTCTTGAGAAGTATTGTCATTCCATCTTCAAGGATGTTCAAAAATTTATCGAATGTCACATATATCTTATTTTATTTACAATATGTATGAATTGCATCTAAGATGATAGTTCTTATGAAATTTCTCTCATTAGTTTTGAAGTAGATGGAAATGAAGATTATATTTTTTTAAATATATTTATACGAGTTGATCTCTGAAATTTCTAACGATTTAATACTGATTACAAGAGACTGTTATTTAAAATTTTTTACGTCAAATTTAAGATAAAGTTACACATATATACGTATATTACAACATACATATATACATGTGTATGTATTCTATGATACACACATAGTACTTCAGTAATTAAGATAATTTAAATTTGTGAGATATCACATCTTAATGATACAAACAACAAACTCGAATATTCTCTATTTAAAAAATTCTCTATTTTGAAATATATCCATGTGATACCATACGATGCATTTTGAAATATATACAAATTGTACATTAAACTTAAAATAATTTTTTTAAATAATAATAAAAAGTAAGTGAATAACGGCATTTAAAACGTAAAAAAGAATAAATTAATAGATTAATACCGCCAGTTTTATATAATTTGTAGCAAATACACGCATTACCTAAATCATCGTCGAATGAATTCTTCAGAGTTCTAAACCGGCGGCCAAATATAGCTAGGTAATGTAATACACATCACGTGCTCAAAAATAACTTAAGAAAAGGGCCTCAGTCGGTGTGCACACGGCACTGCACTGTTTTTCACTTAGAACGTATTTTGTACGATAGAAGCGACTAACATGAGTATATATGTATACTTACGAGCTTATTTTCTCAAAAATGTTGTATTTATTATGCAAACATGTTGAAACATTAGGTAAATCCCAATTATGTATTTCTATAATAAGACATTTGAGCAATAAAAAATTAAGAGAATTGGAAATTTTTATTCTTTCTTTTTGTTTTCTTGTATAAACTATTTGTTCTTTAGTGTTACAGGCATGTGTTGTGTAGTTTTTCTCTTGCACACGACACACTTCGGAGAGTTCAATAGAAGAACATTCTCCGTTATAAAGGTCTTTCTTTCTTAAGTGGTAGACATTTTTTACTTGGTCACATTTCCTTATTATAGGAGCATCAAATATAATAATTTAAACAATTTATACAATTTGTAAAAACATATTTTACTAATTATATATACTTTATATATGTTTTACATAATGTTGGATCAGAATTTACTGTCTCAAAGATTCCACTATTGAGAATAGCTATGTTAAAATCGTTTTTTACGACATACGAAATATTAATGACATATTAATAAATAAGACGATGGTTGTCGAACGGCGACAAACAGTAACAAACGGCAACAAACGAGACTTGGATGTACTTAGAACATTCGGTTTTATTGCGACTTCCATTGTACAATAAATAATTGATTAGTAAGATGTTAGATGATACTTTATCTCTGCATATGTCGTTGTGTAATTTCTTTAATAAATAAATATATATATATATATATATATATATATATATATATAATT